TTTTTGTAGTCTTGTTTCGTGTCATTTGTGTTGTTTCGTGTTAATATTGTGTTTTAGGTCTGGGTTGTTGGCCTCTGTGACCCGAGTGTCAACTTTATTACCATGTTGGAGTCCGACACTCGGGTATTACCCTGTTGGAGTCGTTTTTAGTGTTTTGTGTTGTTGGGGCTGTTCTTTTGTGGTCTTGTGGTTTTAGTGTTGCCGAGTATTACCCTGTTGGAGTCGGTCTTTAGGCAGTCTTTGACTGTCTTCTCATTTTTATTCAGTTGTTGGTTGTTTGTATTCAGTCGTTGGTTGTTTGTATTCAGCTTGTAGCTGTCCATTTGCACCTTTGTGTGCATTTATATAAGATCTCTATCGTTTCGAACAAAAAAAAACACCCAACTATCATCAATACAATCTATCATTTTCAGAAAAAAATAAATAAATAAAACGAACAAAAAAAACACCCAACTATCATCAAGACAATCTATCATTTTGAGAAAAAAATAAATAAATAAAAAAAAATAGGCAGACCATTTTACATTACGTTTAAATCTTCACATTCCCTGATTTTTCGAACTTTGAAGGATCCATTGGTACTATAACTCTTCCGATTATATCCAGACAAAATTTTGCAGAAGAATTTATTAAAAATTACACATGTAATAAAGAGCAGCCTGAAAAATATATGTACTAAGAAAGCAGAGAGTTTAGCTACTGAATCTAAAATGTTGAAGTCCAAATAAATAAATAAAGAGGATCCCAACAAATATGCCCAGTTAAACGAATGGTTCACAAGAAATCGAAATACTTTCAAACGTAATTTCAACTTTAGAATTTGAGGAACGAAAGCGGCAGTGATTTCTACGACCAAAAATCAAATCCCAAGTGCGAGGTATGACCTTAAGATAAATATAAATGGCTGGAATAGCAAGGAACTTATCAGGACATATTGCTAAACCCAAAATACACTGTCCTTTGTTGAATTGCGTTGAAAGCATAGTCGACTTGAACGTGCCCCAGAGGAGATTTAAACCGAAGACCATATCCAAAACCGAACCCGCTTCCTGGTTTACCATGCCTAAGAGCAGGATTTCCTGAATAAATATTAAAATAAAGTAAAAGAAGAATTTCTTGAACAGCATAAAGATTGAAAAGAAAAATGTAAAAAAAAAAAAAAAAAAGTGAAAAGTAGAAGCCAGTACGTATACAGCCATGAACATCACTTTGAAAAATGAACAAAGAACCTACAAAAGCTTATGAACAGAGAATCTAAGAAAAAGCTCAGTAATTGACAAGTCTACACGACCGTTGTTTTCCAAAATTAACACACAGCCCAAATAAGAACAAAAGCGGCTACACATTCATTTGGTAGATGGGTTCTTCTCACTAACTAGACAAGAATCCATGATGTCGATACTATTCTGAAAATAATGAAGCACAATAATAAAAATGGCACCTAGTTTTCGATAGTGGGAGTCGGCAAAAAAACCCAAATTTTCCCGAACCGAACCGGACAAAAATTAAGTTCCGAAATATTTTCTTTATTTTCGTACCGTTATCGACACCAAAACCGTTATAAACAATGTCGTGACCGGTTTCGAATATTTTTGTCAGGAACCGTCCCGTTTAATTACTTTGTACAATATATATATATATATATATAGGGATTGGATCCAATGAGTCCACATATTTAAAGTGTGAATGTGAAACTCATTCCTAGCCATTAGATTGGTACATTATGTGTAGTTAAGATTAACTCTTCAATTAAATAATAATTCTTTATTTTTATTACTTATTTCTTTATTTTATTATTTTAATTATTTAAATATTATTTTGACAATTGACCATTGACTTCGGCGTTGACCGTTGACTCCGGCGTTGACCGTTGACTTCCAGCGTTGACTTCCGGCGTTGACTTTCAACATTGACCGTTGACCCTTAGTATGCATTGTGTATCAAGTAAATATGCATCAGTCCTATGCACTTAGTATGAACTAAATATGCATCATAAATGAATTATATATGTTATCCTTATGAACTAAATATGCACCAGTAATATCAACTATGTATGCACTGTTTATGTACTAAATATGCACATTTTACTAACTAAATATGCATCAGGAATGAACTAAATATGCAACAAAAATATGCAATAAAATATACATTTTATACAATTAAATTAAATATAATAATTAATGATTTTTATTATATAATTAATTTTAATTTTAAATTGATTAATAACACAAATAAATTGTTATGATTGGATCTCAAATAAAATAGGTATGCACTGTTCATGAACTAAATATGCATTTCGTAAGAACTAAATATGTATCATGAATTAAGTAAATATGCATAATGAATTAATTATATAAATATTATTATATATTTAATTTAAATATAACAAGTATGCATTTCGTATTAACAAAATATGCATGATAAATTACCTAAATATTCATAATAAATTAACTAAATATGCATCATAAATTACCTATATAATATGCACATTTTATTGTATATTTTTCGCTGCATATTTAGTTCATTCATGATGCATATTTAGTTCATAACAGATGCATATTTAGTTCATGACAGGTGCATACTTAGTTGATATTATTGGTGCATATTTAGTTCATAAGGACTGCATGTGCAATTCATATCCCATGCATATTTAGTTCATATTGAATGCATGGTACTGGATGCATATTTACTTCATACATATGATGCATACTAGGGGTCAACGGGTCAACGCCGGAAGTCAACGGTCAACGCCGGAAGTCAACGCCAGAAGTCAACGGTCAACGTCGAAAGTCAACGATTTTCCGCCGGAAGTCAACGGTCAACGTCGAAGTCAACTAATAATTATTTTATTATTTAATTAATATATATTTTAAGGAGTTGACTCATTTTAAGGAGTGGACTCATTGGATCCTCCCCCAATATACATATATATATATATATATATATATATATTATACATTGTTATTAGATTTTAATAGTAAGTAGCCCGTGATATGCATGAGACAATAATGATAAGTAGCATTTATTTTACCTTTTATTTTATATTTATGATATGTAACAATATAGTATATGATTTATATACTTATTTCACAAGCTATAAAAAAAATTTCAATTTAAGATTCCTATTTAGAATGAAGAAACATGAAAATTTAACATAACCAAACACAATTAATAAATGATACTAAGAAGTATTATAAATAATACTCACAACAAATCACAATACTTCCTTCTCTCTTCTCTTACTTATATCTTATAACAATATATTATTTTGGTTCCTAAATAAATATTGGTAAAGTTAAAAAATGATGATTTATTGACTTACCAATACAATTTGTAACAATATGCATTATAAATATACATGTTTAATAGATAATCCGTTGGTTTTTCATTATAGTTTGTAACAATATAAATTATTTCATTTTATTTTCTTTTTAAATTTATAATATACTGTTACAGTGACTCATGTTGTTTATCATAATTTATAATAAAACATGTTATAAATGTTTTGATTCTACGCAATCCAATAATTTACGTGGCAGTTCAAAAAATTGCCCATTAGTTTCTCATTTTAATATTGTATATGCTTTATCCTTGAAATAATTTTTACTTAAATCTTAAAATTTTTAGTATTAATTTTCAAAGCAGTGAGTAATAAACATACTCATTACTATTTTATAATAAATACATTTTATCAAATAACAAATTTAAGTTCATTTTTTTATATGTAACTTATAAATTTATTAATACTTTAAAAATAATTGTTTTATTTATACATAAAATATGAGTATCTCAAAAATAGTAAAAAAAAAAAGTTAATTTAGTACTACCTCCTATTCTTTTTAAATGTCATTTTGACATTATCAATTATTGACAAAATAAATGTCGTTTTGGATATTTTGTACATATTTTTCTATTATTACCATCATCTAGCTAATAAATACACTACGTCTTTTCATATTCACTCTTCATCTTTTCTCAAAACATTCATCTTTATCCTCATTAATGAGGGTTATTATTGGCAAAAAAAAATATTCTTAATAACTGTGTAACTTCTCAAAACGACACTTATTATGAATAGGAGGAAGTATTATATAAAAGATGGGTAAGAAATAAATATATAATTAAGCTTTTAAAAAGAAATGAGATTAACACTTAAAAATGAAAAGAAAAAAAAAAGAAAATTATATGGAAATTAAATAGAAAAAAAAAATCATATTTAGGAAACTTTTTCATCTATGCGTTTCAGGAATGGTTTTAAATTCAAATATATTTCTTTAATTTACAAATGATTGTTTTTGGAGTAATTCATATATTATCATATCATTTAATTTATATTTTCAAATCAAATAAAATTTAGATTAGGTGAAAATTGAATAATTAATTGTAGTTTTTTTAAAAATTTAGTATCTAATTAATGATATATATCACTTAAGGTAATAAAAATATATTAGATAGAATAAAATAATTGATTAAATTTTTTAGAAAGTTAATCAATAGATATAGGTCATTTATTGATATTATATTATCTAAAATACAAAAAAATCTCATCACGAATTTTAAAGAAAAATTACGAAAAAATAATTAAAAAAGAAAGTAAAAAAGAAATGTTTTAAAAAATTTCCTTATTTAGTAAGCAGAATTCTTTTGGTAGGAATCCTACTATCTTTAATAAATTCAAATCTTTTTATATATAAAGACATATAGATAGTATTATAGTGATTACACACAACAATAGGTCTATTAATCTATTATGCCCAAAGCATTTGGCACTTGGCATAAAAACAAACATTGATTTGTAGGCTTTGGTTTATTTGCATTGAAAAAAAAAACAAAAAAAAAATCTAATTAATTTGTTAAATATTTGTTATTTGATGATTCTGTTTCACTTTTAGTTTTCTAATTGAAACAAACATTGTTGTTATTTTTCTGTCCCGAATCGGCATGGTACCGAACCGTTTTGTCAATGATACCGTCCATTTGGGACGGTGTCTCATCCCAGACCGTTCATAGACCGGTTCATAAAAGGGGAACAACTAACGGGACACGCCAAATCCCGGACCGTGCCCACCCCTACAATAAAGAGATAAATAAAGAGAAAAGGGGCAACTGCAATCTGGAGACCTGGCATACGAGCAGTATACTAGCAACTAGCAAGTTCAAAAATAAAAAAATAAAAATAAAAATAAAAGTTCAAATTAAAGTTAGTTGTTTTAATTTTAGTTCCCTAAGTGGTATTTTCTGTGGAATACTGAAAGTGATTCATACTAACCATATAGTTTACAATTCCCATTTGATCAAGTCCCTCCATTTATCAAATAAGGACATAAACAAGATAAATAATAAATTGAGGACATGAGTTAATTAAGGTCATAAACTGACCAGGCACATGACGGCCTGAGCTCATATCTGATCCCCAATCCAAGAAAACAGCACCTTTGAGCATCGGGTTCTGGACACAAGAAAGCAAATGATGCTTGATGAGGTGAGTAATTTGATATCTACATTAAGGGAACCAATGTAGAACTGCAAATTAATGGGGCCTCAAGTGAACTGCAGAAAGTATAGTGAAGCAACAAGGGAAGAAAATAAAGTAAACGGGCTGATGGAGGCAAAATATCTTTCAAGTTTGCACAATTCA